CGAATGAAGCAACTGCAAACCAAGAAACGGGGTGCTACGGAGTAGTTAACTGTAGGAGGCTGTACGAGGCGAAGACAACTGACATGCATCGTGACGTCGGTTACCAAGGCAGTGACGTCATTACAGTGACGTCATGCAAATATTGTACTACAGTACAAAACTCTTCCGCAACCTCTTTATGAAACCGGTTTCGGTTTGAAACCAAAATATTAACAAAACTACGTTATTTTGTCAATTTAATGCATGTAAGACGTGGGTAATAAATAAAATACCACACTCGGTCTCATTACATACGAATTATACGAAACTCGTGACCTTCCTATGTTATCCAGTGCTGCTGATTGCACCTGCCTTCAACCTTTCAATAAAGTGGCATGGTCCTATTTCAAAGTGCACTAATGCCTACAGTATATAGAAAACAGTAACTTTCTATGTTGAGAGACATTTTATTTGGTCATTCATATACATATGTACATTCATATACATATCTTTCACATTGTTGTCATATTTTTCTTAATTTTCTTAAACTTTATTCATATCTTTCACATAGTAGTTTGTTTTGAGATAAATAAATTTACATAAATAAACATAATCATTTATTTGGATTAAAATGTAATTAAAACTTAATTTGATTCATGATTATATATACATATATACATCTTTCACACAGTCAACTACCACATTCATTAATAAAGTCATTGTGGTAACCAAAAGTAATTTACATGTATACACACAGTTTCACACATTCATCAACATAGTCATTTGGTTTTCAAGCTAGCTTGATCAAATATCCTGCAGCAGTCAGGAATTCCAGGGGTGTCTTGATACCAGATGTCCGCTCGGCCTTCAGACGAGTGAGTCTCTGGTCAATTTCTGTGTACGTCCTCTTGCGGGGTGGGGGACGGGCGCCATGAGCCATCTGCACCAGCTTATTTCTCTCCGGTTTCTCCAGCTTCTGCAGAACCTTCACAAGAGCGAAAATGTTCGGGTGGGCTCTCTGGACGGTCTTGTTGAGATGCGAATGCCAACCCTCGAGATGATTGTTCGTCCTTGGACCGCTGGTGTCGTGGTGATTCCATAGTCCGGCTCGGAACCGTGCATGGTCGTCTACCCAGGTGCTGGTGATGTAGTCCTGGAACTCATCCTTCTGTCCAATGGCAGGGGCGTCGTCCATGACCTCTATCCAGGCATTTTGTACCATGGCCACTGGGAGGAGGGGGAGTGCTGCTGCTCGTCGGACCCATCTGTGGACCTCAGGATCCTGCTGGTAGGCTTCGCTGAAGCCGAGGTTCTGTACTTTCCTCCAGAGAGCCTGGCTGTAGTGGAAATAGCATCCACGGACGTCGCAGTTGGGGATCTTGTCGTTCAGGAGACGTAGCAGGCGTTCATAGGTGCGGCGTTGACGATTCGGCAGTAGACAGAAGACCAACTGGGTCATCTTCCCTCCGACTAGGCCATGGATGACGTACAGCTGATCCCAGAGAGGAGGACAGGAGTAGAAGGTGCCGTCCATGTAGAGGGTGTCCACTTCTTGCAGGAGGGTGAGGTGGTCACTTGTGGCGAAGCAGAGAATCTTGTCATCATCTCCGTCATCAATGCAGAGGAAGGGCAGTCCATCTGTAGTCTCCTTGAAGAAGTCGGGTAGATTCACCTCGCTGAGCGTCTGGGGAAGTGGCGGCATCATCTTCCGTCTCTGCTTGTAGAGTCCACTCTTCATAGAATGGAACGACTTGACTGTTGCTGCTTCACCTCGGTCAAGTCGGGAAATCTCCTCATCGTAGATCACCTGAACTGGCGTCGTCTCAGTCTGTACCCGCTGCCTCAGGGAACTGGCAATCTTCAGGGCTACCTGGTCTTCTTGTGGGTGGTTGTGTGGGGTCTGATTCCGAACAAACTGTCCGACTGTCGTACACTTGCCAAAGCAGCCACCCTGAACACACTTCCAGTGTACACACGTCTGTCGCCTGTTGTTGAGTCTGTAGCGGTATCCTCCCAAGAGTACCTGCTGTCCTCCTTTCTGTGATGTGAAGTATTCGACTCGCTTGGGATTTGCCATGATTTGCAATGAAGATTTGTATCACAAGCATTTTAAAGCAATACATTTCCTTCTCCTTTAATAATCTCTCAATTAATTACTCTATTCTTCAATTTTAAAGCAATACATTTCCTTCTCCCTTTAATAATCTCTCTATTAATTACTTTACTCTTCAATTTCCTTCTCGTGTGAGAACTAAATGCGTATGGAATTATCAAAACATAAGCTAGCTAACGATTTAATACTCTTGATCTTACTCTTTACTCTCCTTGCTGGCCTCCCCTAATCCCTTTGTAGGCAATAGTGCACACTAAGTGGAACAATCTACTTGTGTGCAGGTAAGCGTATCGCTGTCACTGCAAACGTTGTAGCTATTATTCCCTGTAGGCATTATTCACTGTAGGCATTAGTAGACCTAACCTTGTACCCATGTGGGGAATCGAACCCAGGTCTTCGGGGTGATGAGCGAACGCTTTAACCACTAGGCTAATCCACCGCCCAGATCCATTGTTAAAAGGACATGTAGGCGGTGCCATATACACATTCAATGACATTAGATGAGCATGCAGCCACACTTTTCTTGCCTTGATGCAAACGTCACGTTGTCAGCTCACACTTGTGTGTGGATTGTTGAATGCATAGGCGTAGGAACAGTTTAAAAGTTGGGGGGCAAGATTTCGAAATTGATAACGGGGGGTGGGGTGTGGGGTGGAGAGAGGAGATATATGAAAAGGACAGACGAGTTCACTTGCTTTGCAATTTCTCCACAAAGAGTGTCCCAGCCCTTGTCTGCAGCTTTAGAATACTTCACAAGAAGGTCTTTATAATAACTTATTCTCTTTATATTTGGTCTTAAATATCTGAAAAATAAGAAATTGGAGTCACTGTCATTTTTCTTTATGATAATCATATTTTGGGTGCTGACAAATGGAACAATAGGGTACTGAAAACAATAGTTTTATACTATAAATATATTATAATTACATTCAATAACAAGGCAGAAGTGAGCACAGCTCACATACCCCCGCTTATAGTCTGATCGCCTTCAATACCATTATTGAATACCAAAATAATACTTTAGGAAAACTTTCAATTTTGGCATCATGCAATTGAAAGCCAAAACCCACAATGGCACCATAAGGGTAAGTTCCATGCCAAATTTGAAGTTTGTAAGTGGTATAGTTTTGAGTTATGCTCAGAGAAACCATTCCGGACGCACGGACACACGGGCGGTCGGGCTGAGCGCTATATACCAGCGACTACGTCGTAGCGGGGGTATAATAATGCAGCCATTCTTATTTCATACATGAATTCGGCTTTCAGATAAAACCAGCTCTCTCACTGCCAATGTATGAGTTTGAAATCGTGTCTTATTGTTATTGTTTAGATTTTCAATAAATAAATCAAACAGCACCTATTATACTTAAAATATGGCTATTACTGTAAACTAAATGTTACTGTATAGACTACACTGTAATGTCAATGTATGTTGTCAACTTACAGCTGATTCGAATCCATGTTGGCTGTTAATAACAGACTGACTGCCCCTACTTTCACTTTTGAGTGACATGAATTAAAAAAATTGGATTCTATCATTAGCGGAATTTTTTTTTTGATCATGTTATTTTATCAACGTTACCAGCGGCTTGAATTTGTATTTAATTCTCCATTATGGTCCCTAAAAAAATTTCCAGCTTGTAAAAATATGGGGGGGCAGCTGACCCCCTGCCCCCCCCCAGTTCCTACGCCTATGGAATGTTTTGGCATTTCGTTACGTTTGTCATTACATTTAACACTGAACGTCAAAGATGTCGTTTGATATCCGAGCAATTGGGGAGCATCGGCATGCTTGAATCAGGCTTCTCACAACGCAACATCAAACCAAAGCGTTGTTAACAGAGCGTGGAACCGCTTGGTACGGCAGCACACCGTCATGGTGGTGGTCGTCAAAGGTCGATTACACAACACCACTTAATTACCGTTCGGGCACATCGTCATCCTTTCTGGACAGCCATCAGCCTCCGAAACGACCTCCATAACGCCTCGGGCGTTAACATACCAACCCAGAGAATACGGAATCGTCTTCATGCAGCTGGCTTCAACTCCAGGAGGGAACGTGTTCGCATCTCTCACAGTACGTCACAGGCGGAACATTTGATTTGGGCTCATGGTCATGTAGTGCATGAAATAAGGCCCGTTCGACCGCCGGGGGCGGGCTAGATTTCTGACAGACGGTCGATATTTACAGCTAACCAGAACAATGGTCTGGTAAAATTTTTGTAGATAACATGTTCCATGAGTCAATCCAGTGATCGACAGCAAAAATGATGATGAACCGACTGTTCAGAACTGCGGAATGTCAGTCATATATATTACATAACACACACGTTTTAATACACATATTTTTGACAATAGGTTTATTGCACAAAGCTGTTGTCATGCAGCTCGCCCTGGAATGTGGTTCATAGTTGCTTCAATGTTCATACATTATACAACACAAACTATTCATGTCTATGTTATACAGTCGTTGCCATGACAACAACAGTAACCAACAAAATATCACAAACAATGCAATATTTAGTATTCTGAAGCCAAATTAACATGGGTAATCATTAACCTTGCTGCACTTTTCAGGTGTTCAATCAATGAGCAATGGGGAACTTTAGAAGTCGGCTTCCCATATTGTACCCTGTTGGAACAGGGAGGCTGTGTGTCAAGATGAACAGGGACAAGATTAGCAGGGTCTACCTGTATTTCTTGAGTCAGTGACATCCTGAACACAGGTATCTGCCCATCACTTACAAACACCGAAAAGTACTAAAGAGTATAGGGCTCTCCCCAAATCCATGTAAATGTAATTTGTTGTGAGAGAATTCATCCTGAACATTAAATAATATAAGGACCTATTCATGAGATATGGTGAGTGAGTGACTTGGGTTTTACGCTGCTTTTAGCAATATTCCAGCAATATCGCAGCGGGGGACACCAGAAATGGGCTTCACACATTGTACCCATGTGGGGAATCGAACCCGACCTTCCACGTGACGAGCGAACGCTTTAACCACTAGACTACCCCACCGTCCCCTGAACATTAAACAATATAAGGACCTGTTCATGAGATATGGCGAGACCTTAAAATATCAAATATTGCACAAATCAAAATATGTGATATATTCTCCTTTGACACACTTAGAACATGTCCACTTGAAAAAATAATTTCATTGGAAAACTATTTGTCACATGGCTCAATATTTGACATCACATAACAGAATAACAATCAACAACTTTTAAGTAGAGTATTGAAGTTTGACAAAGCTGAAATGGCTGGCATCCTTGTTCATTGTGACAGCAAGGTTGACACTTTTATCTTTCCGTCCATGGCGCCCATGAGGCAGACTCTTGTGTCGACAGATGGCGACCAGTCTACGGTTGTGACTGGACTCTTGTGACCCTGCAGCTCCATGATCTTCACGATGCCGGGGTCAGCCTCTCTGGTCTGGAAGAGATGAAGATTGTGGGATGTGGTTGTGTATCTTGGATCAGTGAGTGGTCAGTTGGGTGTGGAGGGTCAGCATATGGGCAGTCAAGTGTTACCAGTATTGGTTATCATTCCCTTGATCAAGCATTTTGTTATTCCCCTTGACAGAACATGATTATCATTCCTCTTGACAGAGCATGGGTTATCATTCCCCCTTAGTAGAGCATGGGTTATCATCCCCTTGTTAGAGCATGGGTTATCATCCCCCTTGTTAGAGCATGGGTTATCATCCCCTTGGTAGAACATGGGTTATCATCCCCCTTGGTAGAACATGGGTTATTATCCCCCTTCGTAGAACATGGGTTATCATCCCCCTTGTTAGAGCATGGGTATCATTCCCTTGATCAAGCATTTTGTTATTCCTTGACAGAACATTAGAGCATGGGTTATCATCCCCTTGGTAGAGCATGGGTTATCATCCCCCTTGTTAGAGCATGGGTTATCATCCCCCTTGTTAGAGCATGGGTTATCATCCCCCTTGGTAGAGCATGGGTTATCATCCCCCTTGGTAGAGCATGGGTTATCATCCCCATTGGTAGAGCATGGGTTATCATCCCCCTTGGTAGAGCATGGGTTATCATCTCCCCTGGTAGAGCATGGGTTATCATCCCCCTTGGTAGAGCACCGGTTATCATCCCCCTTGGTAGAGCATGGGTTATCATCACCCTTGATAGAGTATGTGTTATTGACCTTGACACAACATGGGTTATCACCCCTTTGAGAGAGACACAACATGGGTTATCACCCCTTTGAGAGAGCATGAGTTATTCACCATGACAGACCATGGGTTAACAAACCCATAAAATAACGTGTTATTCAAGTTGACAAAATATTTAGGAGATACACATACTGTGTTGGAAAATCAGAGGTATATAACAAAATTATAACAGCTCTAAATTTGATTTAAAACCGAAAGCGTAGGTGAGGTTTAAATAAAATATTTAGAGCTATTATAATTTCGCTATATACCTCTGATTTTCCAACACAGTGTGTTTATCTCCATTCTACCATAACCGTGTTATTAAGATTTTAAAAAAATACATACTGTGTTGGAAAATCAGAGGTATATAACGTGATTATATACCTCTGAATGACTTTGATTAACCAATCACAATCCAGTATTTACTGAAGTCATGGTAGAATGGTTATTGATTCCTCAGCAAATCATGCATACATGATATGTCAGAGCACATGACAAATTATTGTAAATGTTTACCTGATACAAGACTCCTTTGTTTTTATCACATGTGAGTATATACTGGCCCTCGGGGTCAAAAGCAAACAGTCTCCCCCGCGGTACTTCCTTGTTCCCTGTCGGACTGGTGGCCAGGAACGGCAGTGCTGCCCCCTGGTGGATTGCCAACTCCTGAACTATGGTGCCAGTCTTGTGGATATTCCACTGTATAAACTGGAAGTGAAACATTACAGATGTAGCCACAATACACTGGATTAGTATTTCTCATAGGCTTATGCTGTCCCCTAACATGTCAATATACCTATCTCAAGTGTCCATACTTCTGTCACCATAGGGCCGGTGGGGTAGCCTAGTGGTTAAAGCGTTGGCTCGTCACGCCGAAGACCCGGGTTCGAATCCCCACATGGGTACAATGTGTGAAGCCCATTTCTGGTGTCCCCTGCCGTGATGTTGCTGGAATATTGCTAAAAGCCGCGTAAAACCAAACTCAGTCAGTCAGTCAGTCTGTCACCATAATGAATTTGCCCCTCTAAAATCATCAATTTTTAACTGGATCAGCTATCAGTGAGCATGGTTTATGCTGCTTTCAGTAATACTCTAGCAATATCATGACAGGGGGACACCAAAGAAGGGCTTCACACATTGTTCCCATGTGGGAATGAAACCTGGACCTCTGGCATGACAAACGACCACTCAAACCACCTGGCTACAATGTTACAGTCACTAACCTTTGATCACTCATATAGGCTACACCTTTCTGATGGTGTGTCATTGCATGCCTCTTTCCTCTTATTAACTACTGCCTTTACGTACTGTCTACACAGTTACGTCCCCTACCTTCCCATCCCCTCCCATACTGAAGCAGGACGTCTCATCAGAGCTGAACTGTACAGAATGGACCTCCCCATCGTGAGCCCTACCTTCCCATCTCCTCCCATACTGAAGCAGGACGTCTCATCAGAGCTGAACTGTACAGAATGGACCTCCCCATCATGAGCCCTACCTTCCCATCCCCTCCCATACTGAAGCAGGATGTCTCATCAGAGCTGAACTGTACAGAATGGACCTCCCCATCATGAGCCCTACCTTCCCATCCCCTCCCATACTGAAGCAGGACGTCTCATCAGAGCTGAACTGTACAGAATGGACCTCCCCATCGTGAGCCCTACCTTCCCATCCCCTCCCATACTGAAGCAGGACGTCTCATCAGAGCTGAACTGTACAGAATGGACCTCCCCATCGTGAGCCCTACCTTCCCATCCCCTCCCATACTGAAGCAGGACGTCTCATCAGAGCTGAACTGTACAGAATGGACCTCCCCATCATGAGCAGGCCACTGGGTGATACACTTCTGTTGCTGGATGTCTGCAGTAAAAGATCTCATGTTACAGACTTTCAGTACACACTGAAAAGAAAACCATTCCGCTCTCTACTCCATATAATGAATGCAAACACTTCAAACATTGTGATTTTTTTTCACATTCAGTTCAAATGCATTTTCTTTGCAACAGTTTCCGCTGCCTGTTAATGCCACACTCATCAAAACATGAGCAACATCACTACTGCTGGCAAATAATCAAGATTGTACTAAACAAACTAGAGACTGACATTATGAGCACCACTGAGTGAGTGAGTTTTGGTTTTATGTTGCTTTTAGCAATATTCCAGCAATATAATGGCAGGACACAAGAAATGGGCTTCACACATTGTGCCCATGTGGGAAATTGACCCTAGGGCTACCCCCCGCCCTTATGAGCAACGGTACTATGATGACATGCAAAATAGGCCACCACCCCGATCCACTCAGTCACTCCTTAGATTTGGGTCGGTTGTTGTTTAACGCAGCTCTCAGCAATATTCCGGCTATATGGCAGCTATCAATAATTCAGTCTGCACCAACACAATCCAGTGATCAACATCACCAGCGTGTATCTACTCAGTTGGGACACGATGACATATGTCACCCAAGTCAGCGAGCCTGACCACCCAATCCTGTTAGTCGCCTCTTACGACAAGCATGGGTGGCTGAAGACCAATTCTAACCCGGATATTCACGGGTAGATTGACATGATAACATCACTTGTCATCAGCGTACAACGACATGCAAGAAGATCACCACCCTCACCCCACCACTCCGACCCAGTTAGTCATTGCAAGAAGTACTAAGGACCTAACTTCTACCACAGAAGTACTAAGGACCTATTCTACCACAGACACCCCCTGGGAGAAAAGACTCCAGCAGACTGACCAAATATCCTGATCCTTCCATCCGCAGCTCCGGTCATCAGCAGCTGACCATTATGGTTGTACTGACAGCAGTTGATGGCCACAGGGGTCGGTTCCAATGGGAGCTGTTTCTGTCAACACAATACCCCACACCTTCAGACATCTCACGAACAAAGACTGAGTACATCGTATCATTGCTTCATTCTAATGGCTACCAGCAAAGTGAAAGCATGATAAATGATACTTTATTACATGACGCGACTTTCTACTATTATTTTTATTATTATTATTGGATATTTATATATTTATATATTTTTTCCCTCTATCATTGGATGTCAGTCTCAACGTCACATCATATTATCAATCTCAGCTCCCTGGGGATCATACAACTCTTGCTGCCACAAGGCGCACTGAGTTATTGTGCCTTTCCCATCCTTACAAGGTACCCATTCAGAGCTGGGTGGACTGGGATATATAGTCACAGAACTTTGTCCAAGTTAACTGCATGTTGCTGTACCCGCAACAAGGTGTTTGCACGTATTCATGTGGCCACCATCTGGTCATATAGCAACGGATTTGTGGGTTCTTTTAAGTGCACAGGGTTGTATACTGTACACTTGGGTACTAGGGTTTGTTAGACTCAGTATAGCAGTGTTGGGAATAATTCTGAGCCTAAGTTTCCTTAGACTGTGACGACACCAGCAAAGTGAAAACATTTTGAATGATACTTTATGACTCCAGCAAAGTGAAAATATTTTAAATAATACTTTATGACAACAGCAAAGTGAAAATATTTTGAATGATACTTTATGACACCAGCAAAGTGAAAATATTTTAAATAATACTTTATGACACCAGGAAAGTGAAAATATTTTGAATGATACTTTATGACACCAGCAAAGTGAAAATATTTTAAATAATACTTTATGACAACAGCAAAGTGAAAATATTTTAAATGATACTTTATGACACCAGCAAAGTGAAAACATTTTAAATAATACTTTATGACACCAGCAAAGTGAAAATATTTTAAATAATACTTTATGACACCAGCAAAGTGAAAATATTTTAAATAATACTTTATGACAACAGCAAAGTGAAAATATTTTAAATGATACTTTATGACACCAGCAAAGTGAAAATATTTTAAATAATACTTTATGACACCAGCAAAGTGAAAATATTTTAAATAATACTTTATGACACCAGCAAAGTGAAAACATTTTGAATGATACTTTGACACCAGCAAAGTGAAAATATTTTAAATAATACTTTATGACACCAGGAAAGTGAAAACATTTTGAATGATACTTTATGACACCAGCAAAGTGAAAATATTTTAAATAATACTTTATGACAACAGCAAAGTGAAAATATTTTAAATGATACTTTATGACACCAGCAAAGTGAAAATATTTAAAAAAATACTTTATGACACCAGCAAAGTGAAAACATTTTGAATGATACTTTATGACACCAGCAAAGTGAAAATATTTTAAATAATACTTTATGACACCAGGAAAGTGAAAACATTTTGAATGATACTTTATGAGACCAGCAAAGTGAAAATATTTTAAATAATACTTTATGACAACAGCAAAGTGAAAATATTTTAAATAATACTTTATGACACCAGCAAAGTGAAAATATTTTAAATAATACTTTATGACACCAGGAAAGTGAAAACATTTTGAATGATACTTTATGACACCAGCAAAGTGAAGATATTTTTAAATGATACTTTATGACAACAGCAAATGAAAATATTTTAAATGATACTTAATAACACCAGCAAAGTAAAAATATTTTAAATGATACTTTATGACACCAGCAAAGTGAAAATATTGTAAATGATACTTTATGACACCAGCAATGTGAAAACATTTTAAACGATATTTTATAAGAACATGTCTCACATCCATCTTCATAGTGCGGAGATCCCACAACATGAGTTTTCCTGGCTTAGCCATTGCGGAGGTTTCCGAAGACCCACTTCGGAGACGCTGCACCGTGGCCGAACACACGAAACTCATGCCCACAGGGTTGGCTGTGATGTTGATGATCCTGGGACAAGCAATCAATGTCATCCTTATCACAGCAAATATAACAGTAAAAGTAAAGTTAACATAACTCTAAATTAAACTAAACATCAACCATTTTACCACAGATTCTTTCATGATCTGTGCCTATATGTAGCAATAGCTTAAAAAATGTTTAAACAGGAACACTCATGATATAAGCTAAACATGAACAGGCCCAAATATCTTTAAAAAAATGTCTTTTTGCCACCCTAGAGAGAAAATCTTGTTGAAAGACTGACTGACTGAGTATGGTTTTACGCTGTTTTTAGCAATAGTACAGCAATATCACGGCGGGGAACACCAGAAATGGGCTTCACAAATTGTACCCAAGTGTGGAATTGAACCCAGGCTTTCGGCATGAGGAGCAAACACTTTAACCAGTAGGCTACCCCACCGCCCCCTTGTTGAAAGGGAGTTGGTGAGTGAGTTTAGAGTTATCATGCCAGGGATACCAGAGATGGTCTTCACACATTCCCCATGTGGTCAGTGTATGAATTAATTTTGAAAAGTCACTGACAGGCTAGTTAAGGAAACATGTTGCTAGCCCACATCATACTTCACTGGCCCTGCAAAATATCAATATCAATATGCACATTGGTCAGAATTGGTGAGGTGCTTGGTAATGGAAGATGGTAAGTTAATGTCACCCCTTGGAACAATATAAATCAAACAAGCACAAAAAAGTATGATTTCTTTCCTTATTCCTCAAATACAAGTTGGAGAAAACACTGCTGTAATGTGCAGCTCACTTCTAGTGCAAAACTTTTGCGGACCGACTTTCAACACCATATCATGTACATTACATAAAGAACCAAATTATCTGAGATGTTCAGCTAGCCAGTCGGGATAGCTTTAACAATATAATACTGTCACGATTCACAATCAGCTAGCATTTGGCTAGCGGGCCAGTAGCTATTTCGAATGCTGCATGTGGTGTAATGAGCAATACTTCAACTACTGGGCTACCCCACCTTCCCGTTCATGGTACTGGGTCGTCTCACTTCAGTCCCTTGAATTAGGTCCTCAAACTATGGATAAACCCGTTTTTATCATCGAATCCTTTCCAATATATTCCTTGCTTCATACCTGGGATAACTTTGGTCTGCCTGAACTTCACGAAACGTCTTGATCTCTTTGACATCAAACAGACGAATATTTCCTGTACGGTTGCCCAACAGAAGCTGGAAGAAACAGAAAGATGATGATTATCATCGTGTTCATCATAATGAGTGAGTGAGTTTGAAAATTTTAACTATAAATTGTATATTTATATACTTATCCTGTCTCACGACTTCCACCTCTCTCTCTTCATTCGACCATGAGTGGAAACGAATTAAAACTTTGCTTCAGGCCTACCTTGCCCCTCTCCCGTGCTGTGCGTGCCTTCCTGTGTCAGTCGTGCTCACTAGTCCATGACAGCACGAGGCATGCGCAGTCCTCACCCATGTGATCACCTCACATACTCATTCTCGATCTTGGAGCCATAAAAGGACAAAACCGGAACGGTGGTAATCTATGTAGTGGGGAGGTAGGGAGGGACTTTATCGCGTGAGATAGGATAAGTATATAAATATACAATTTATAGTTAAAATTTTCAAATTTTTAAACTTATCCTATCTCACGACTTGCACTATCCCACGGTAGGAAGGTGGGTCATAGATTACCGAAATTCAAGCGATAACAGCTAAGTGTTATGCCCAAACAACCGTGAGGAAGCAACTACAAGGTAGGCCAATAACTACCAAGTTACTACGCGATGCGAGGGTTAGAAGCGAACCCAATTGACTTACTAAGCACAATTGCTCCCAGGAACCGAGATTCCCGAGCAATGTGGTGTTCAGTCACTACCTTCACAAAGTGAAAGGGCGTAAGCCGAGTGTAATCAGTCGACGCCCACGATTTCCAAGGTACCCCGTAATAAAAGTCTAACGACTAGTATCGGGCCAGCCCTGCTTCAAACAACCCCACAGACACCGTCCGAGGAGGGTGAAAGAGAAATTGAATCGGTAAAACTCACAATTTTAACGTTCAGTACCACAACATCATCTTATGACTTCCACTACTTACCACAGTAAGATCACATAGATGTGTATAGGCACTTAGGAGCATGAACGCTACTGAAGTGTAACACTTCGGGAAAGACTCACTTCACTGATTTAATTACTCCGTGGAGCAGAGGACAGTAAGTGAGGTGGCGACTCTCTGTAGTCTCAAACAAATGAGAGGAGAAATCTATATCCCGGAAGAAATAAAGACGTAAATCAGAAAAAGTTTTTCAGATTTATTCAGATTGTACACAAGCAGACACGATCGCGACTTGGGATCAACTGCACAGTGGGATCCATATAGCATCGGAGCACAAGGAAGTTCATTATCTGCGATGTTGTGCCGCTGATAACTGCTGGGCAAGGACGAGTGGTCCAAACTGATGAAGGCCTTGAATATCCGTCACCGACACATCTCTGAGGTAATGAGATGAAAAAACTGTGTCAGATCGCCAAAAACAATCCTCCATTATGGCAGTTAACGAGCAGTTGCTATGCAACGCCATGAGAAGCCAATGCCCTGGTTTCATGAGGGTTGACTGCCGTAGGTATTGTAGCTCGTAGCCAATATGAGAGTGTTGTGCGAGAGACTTCCGCCTTGGAAGCAGTAGACAAGTTGTATAAACAGTCTCAGTCTCTTACGCAGACAGCGGCGCTCTTGCGATGCTTTAAGGTAACGCTACGAAGTGTAACACTTCGGGAATGACTCACTTCACTGACGTAATTACTCCGTGGAGCAGGGGACAGTAAGTGAGGTGGCGACCCTCCAGCGTCTCAAAAGCGAGACCTGCGATGGTTAGTTCGAACCCATTGACTTACTAAACACAAGTGCTCCAGGGACCGGGATTCCCGAGCAATGTGGTGTTCAGTCACTACCTTCATGAAAGTGAAAGGACGCAGCTTAGCGAGTGTAAACAGTCGCATTCCCTCGATTTCCAAGGTCTGACGACCAGTATCGGGCCAGCCCCTGCTTCGACACAACCCCCACAGACACCGTCCCGTGGAGGGTGAAAGGGTAATTGAATCGAAAACTCACAAGTCCCAGAAGAATCGAAGACACAAATCAGAAATAAAATTCAGAATTTTATTCAGATTGTACACAAAGCAGAAACGATCGCAACTGGTGATCATCTGCGCTGAAGCTGATGGTTGTCCCGAAAAGCGAACAGGCGATAATGACAATGCTGAATTCCAATTCGTTGTGATGAAGGGCCCTTTCTCCTGATGACCACTGCTAGGCCACTTGATGGAGAAAGTGAGCGCCCCAGCTTGCAAGATGTGCCAACGAATAGGTGTTGAGTCGGTATGAAGGGCACCCTAGAGACTCCAACACAAACATTCCACTTGTTGAGCCACCAACGAAAGACTGAATGTAGTTGTGGGAAGACGAATCAACTCCCTGGGGTTGTCGTCCCCGATGTATGGGCACAGAACCATCTGAAGAGAGCAAGTTGCAGCTGGCCCCTGTAAGTCAGCACTTGTGCCGACGCCAACCACCCTAGTAACTTCTGCCACTGGCGAAAAGGTGTGGGTTGGACCAACACTAGTGGTGCGTTGCACTGAATCTTGTCCCACCTCTCCTGGGGCACAAACATCATGACCTGGCATGTTGAATATTGTCCCAATAACAAGAAACAGCGGGTCGGTGTTACCCCTGATTGCTCCAAATTTAGCAGCCATCCTAATTGCGTGAGCAACTTGATGATGAACTGTCTGTGGAACGGAAGGACGACTGGATCCTGCTGGGCTTGAACACAGTCGTCGATATTGTTGTCAATTGTCACGCTTCGACAATGCAGGTAGCTTGTTATCAGAATGGGTATCTGAGTAAACAACCACGGGGCTGCGCATATGCCCATACAGCAGGATCCTCCATTGGTATCAATGACGCCCCATAAAAGTAAATCGAAGATACTTCCGATAGTCTGGATGTATCCGGATGTGAAGGTAGGCGTCTCACAGGTCGAGGGACTGACTGACTGACTGACTGAGTTTAGTTTTACACCGACTTTAGCAATAATCCAGCAAAATCACGGCGGGGGCACCAGAAATGGGCTTAACACATTGTGCCCATGTGGGGATCGAACCGGGGTCTTGGGCGTGACGAGTCAACGCTTTAACCACTAGTCGAGCAACTACGTCAGTTCTGACGGAGTGCTCAATGTCATATGTTTGGCGCATGGAGATTGTCAGTCAATCTACAGGAACGTTCACATTATAAACAAATTGTAGAAATTCGTAGGATCGGTGACCTCAGGAACGTTTCTTTTGGCCGAACAAAATAATGGTGCGCCAGGTGGAGTGATATAGGTAGTAGATCGCTGCCTGGTGACAGTCCTTGCATAATGCAGTGACCTCTGAACTCAGTGCTTGACTAGGCAAACCGTTCACGGGTGTTTCTGTCCGTCACCCTCAATAAGCAGTCTCTCTCGACTGGCTGTCAAAATCCCGACACAGTCACTCTTACCGGGAATGGCAGCGTTCGTTGTTACTTGCATTTATAGGCTGGAGTTTGGTATCCGATTCGTGGGACCAAGAGAATTCTGCAAGGGCACTTCATAGTCACTCTAATCATCAAAATTCCGGTAAACTAACAGTAGTCCGCCATTTGCAAATGTTACACACGAGTGACAAAAAATACGGACAACATGGTCTTTGGTTAACCGGGCGAGTCACAACCCATAAATTCCGGGCTGAGCTATGCTGGCTATTTGACAAAACATTGCTGGTACCATGCGCAAGAACTTCATCCATTTGTTATCTGTCCAGAAACTTGCTTATCATGTAAAACAAAGGGAGCTGAAGATGACGAGCCGTCTGCAACAATTGCACCCAGGGATACACAAACACGCTGTTACCAGTAGTCTGTAGTAACAAGACTCATCGGAGCGTCCGTAGAGTATTCCTGGCTAGCAAGCACGTATCTAGTTATGCCATATCGGTGGTTGCAGAACTGATATCTACACCGAAGGGTAGAATCGCTTGAACCGAATCATTCATCAAAAGTGAAGATCGGATGGTAGATTAAATCTGGAATGAGATGAGCCCCGTCACGGAGGACTCTTGAGAACTGGGATCATCAGGCCGTCAAGTGCCGAAGCTGATATCTCTAGTTGACTGCGCTACTAACAACACATGTAAGTCAAATCGGCAAGGTGAAGCACATAGCTACTACCTCTGTACATTGATCTTGAACGGCCAGGTGAACTGGTTCGACGATAGGAGCTTTTCGACCAGGTGAAGCGATCATGAGCGGCTGGTAAATCAGTTCAGGGTGGAGAGCCGAAAGTTGACGGATCTGAATCAGTCCGATGTGATCTGAATCGCGACTGATCAGAATCGGTTCGGTAATCCAAAACGGTTAAATGAACTCAGCTGATGGAGAGATCTAGAACGCTCAGATGAACCGGTGAGGCGAGGTGAAATGTTCCGCCGAGGTGAATCGTTTCGGTGCTGTGAATTGAACCGATGATGTGAACTGTTTCGGCGATAAGAAACAGTCTTAATATTATGGCGACTTGAGTCAATGTCGTATTCACATACGGCGTGACGAAACGGTTCGGTCTGGTGAATCTATTCGTGTATGGCGAACCGATTCGGTGTGGTGAATCGGTTCGGCAATTTGACGGTACGGTCTGGTGAAACCATTCGGTATTGCGAGCCGATTCGGTGTGGTGAATCCATTCAGTATGGCGAACCGATTCGGTGTGGTGAATCCATTCGTAATGGCGAACTGATTGGGTGTGGTGAATCCATTTGGCGATGACGAAACGGTTCGGTCTGGTGAAACCATTCGGTATGGCGAACCGATTCGGTGTGGTGAATCGGTTCGGCGATTTGACGAGGTAGATCGGATGTGTGAGTCAACTGGCAACACAGAGCGTTTTGATGAGGCGGAACCACGAGAAGACATCTAATGATGCGCCCATAAAATTATCACCGTCTGACATGGGCAACTGCGGACGACGAGCAGGTAATACCGGTCGTTAAAAGCGGGGGTTTGTCGGGTGATCAACTGTTGAAGTGTAATGAGCTCTGACTGCCAGCCATCGGGAGCAAGCATGTCTACATGCTCTAAAACGCCCTTAATAAGGGAGCACATTCCCCGACAACGCTTGCTCCAGGAACATGACGATTGGGGATCCGAGGAAGTAAATATTGTCACAGTGTGCGAAAATTACGCTTACTGAGTCTAGACTGACAAGATCGGGATATCCTGATTCACCTAAAGTGAATGAGACCGACTTCGAGAATCACTCTGACGAAAACACACCGTACGGCTAGGTGAACCAGATCGAAATGGCCAACCACCTCGACCAGGCGAGACTGAACGACTACGGGAATCAAAACGCTGTGGTGAATTGATTCGACTATGAGATGGTGCGTCGAACTGAAACCTATGTTGAGGTGAACTGAGTCGGGAATGTGAACCCGTTCGTCCTGGTGAACCCCTTCAATTACGTGAATCAGTTCGGTCAGGTGAACCCATTTGATTACGTGAATCAGTTCGGTCAGGTGAACCCATTCGAAGATGTACTGGTGAGCCGCTTCGGCAGGGTGCGCCGGTTCGGCCTGGTGAGCCGGCTCGGCAGGGTGAGCCGGTTTGGCTGTGTGAGCCCGCTCGGCCGTGTGAGCCGGTTTGGCATGGTGAGCCGGCTCGGCCGTGTGAGCCGGCTCGGCCATGTGAGCCGGTTTGGCGGGGTGAGCCAGCTCGGCGGGGTGAGCCGGCTCGGGAAAGTGAACGAGACCTAGAACGACTCCTCCCAGCCGTGGAAATAGGAGAGCGGGTACGTTCCAACCGCCCCGATCCCCGCTTCGACGATGAATGCTTTGAAGTTCTCGAAGTCTGTGATCGTTCCGAAGAAGCAGACCTACGAGATAATGTAGATTGCAGGTCTGGCGAGACTTAAATATCGGTCATTACCACCCTGGTACGCTTCATGAGAACTTAAACTGGGTGAGGGAAGCTCCCCTAAAGCCTTCTAACGCTTCAGATAAATAGGAATCCGACGAAGCGTCCATAAAATCTTCGCCAGGAGAGACGGGCTGCATTGAGAACGGTGAGCAGTGAGGGTGGGGCGATCTAAGCATTGTTTCTTAGCGGGAGATGGACCAGACCCCGCAGAATTAGTCCTAGCCCTATCTGCCAAACGTCTGGCACAAGCACGTTTGTAAGATTTAAACGCCTCATTAGACAGACCTGAACACTTCGGAGAGCGTGTGTCCCAGTCACAAACACCCACACAATCAACACACGATGTGTGTGGGTCCCATGCTGAAAATACTTTATTACAACGGCGCAAAACATCCGTTTACTGGCCTGAACAGGCTTAACCATTTTGAGCAAATCTCAAAGTTTTAATTCGTTTCCACTCATGGTCGAATGAAGAGCGAGAGGTGCAAGTCGTGAGATAGGATAAGTTTAAAAATTTAGTTTTACGCCGCTTTTAGCAATATTCCAGCAATATCACGGCGGGGGGACACCAGAATATGGACTTCACACATTGTACCCATGTGGGGAATCGAACCTGGGTCTTCAGTGTGACAAGCGAACGCTTTAACCACTAGGCTACCCCACCGCCCCGATCATCATAATGATGAGCTTCCTTACTTATGATGACATCTTTAAACAATTAACAGATTAACGTACACAAATTTTGTAACATAAGAATTAAAAGTAAACCATTGTTGGAACTCTTCAGAGACATTGTCTGCTTGACAGGTTATTCCTGCAAACTTGAACTAATATTTATGTAAGATATGGAAAATGAAATCTGTTTAATATCATAAATTGTTACTCGTTTTTAATGGTTTGTAACCAGCGCAACATACATAGATATGCTTGTTTGCTGTGTAAACTTGCACTAAGCAATACTACAGCCATAAAACAGAGGGTAGTCTGAACCAGATGATCCAGTGATAGTTATTATAAGCAAATGTCCATGACATCAGGGTACAATGAAATGCTTTCTCTGAAGTCACCGAGCTTGACCATCTGATCCATGAAGTCACTGCTTACAAGGAGAATATATTGACGGGACAGTGTCTTGCCGTGCCTCCCTGCCTGGGTACCTTAACCTGACCAACTCTGTCACACACACACACAGTGAGGTGAGGTGAAATGGCTTTTAACGTTGTACTTAAGAATATTTCACTCATATGATGATGTGCATGCGTGTGTATGTGTGTCGGCTTGTACTAGCCCAGACTTAAGCTGGTTTTATAGTGCTAGCTCACTGAGATACCATGCTGCAGTTAAGCAAGAATACCCCACTCAGACTCCGAGCCGACCAGTCCTTGTTGTACCCATTAATGCTGAGCACCAGGCAGGGAACAGCAAGTACCATATTGTAAGGTCTTTTTAGTATGACGCAGCTGGGGATCGAACCTGCGACCTTCCGCTCTCTGGGCGGACCACTACACTTACTACAACCACTACACTAACTACAACCACTACACTAAGGAGGCAGTTCACCGAGCTTGACCATCTGATCCATGAAGTCACCAATTACATGGAGTATATATTACCTTGTGTGACATTGACTCCCCACTGGGGTACTTTAACCTGACACACAGTGTTACACACACACAGTGAAGATGCTCACCCATCTGTCTGACTTGCTGGTCCACTCCAGAGACAGGAACGCTGATTTGGACATCACCGTTGCTGTGGTTGCCGGCTGAGGACTCCAGGTCCAAACTCTGAACAAAGGAGATCACTGAGCTTATTTATCAACACTATCATATTTTACCTTCATAAATAAACTGCAAGTGAATCAGTGGCACTTGTGATTTGTAACCAGGCAATTATAAAGCGATTATTTTGAATTAAAATCTTGCCAAGTAGTGCTCTTTCCTGATTGACTGGATGAAAATGGTAGAGGCCGTGTATTGAATTACTGTGTCACTGATTTCAAATTGATTCTAAATATATTTTGGTGTTAATCACTTGCATAAAAGTACACTATTAGGTCAGGTTCCTATTTGGTTATTATTGTTAATGTTTTTATTTATACAATTACACTTCAAGATATTTTTGTGTTTATGGAGATGCAAATGTAGAGATTGGTGCGAACACTTTGCGTTAATCCTGTTATTATGTTTTTCTGCAGAAATAATCAATTCAATTCTTAAATGATCTAAAATATATTGACTGTTACAACTGTACATCCTACATTACAGATTGTTGAAGACAACATGGCCGATGTCAATACTTCAAGGAAGGGAGATAACTCTGATAAGGCTAGCGTCTCCAGTACACACATTGTACTCATGTTGAGAGCCAAACCCTGGTCTTCAGCTTCATGAACTAACACTTATGTGTGAGTAATTATGCAAAACATTCCTGCACAACATCCAGTTGATACTATGGTTACCAAGTAGGAAATACCTTTTGAAATAAAGTAGATGTTTGGCAAATGTGATTCAACAGTGACAAGACTGACAACAGTCCATGAACATTAACAACAAACTTACTTGACCACACCATCAGCGTCAAGACTAGCGATGTACTGCCCCGAAACACTGAACTTGCCATAAGATATAGCTGAGTGATGCTCTGCATATTCGTCCTGCAAACAAGATTAAGATCAGCAAACACCAACAATACAGTCATCCGTCGCAATAACACTCTTCGCGATACCGCAGATTCGGTTGAACCCGGGGTAATCCGTGGCTCCCATAAAAAAATAGTTGCCTAACAATCACACATCTTCACAACATTGAAAATGTAATATTTTAAGTAAAATTGATATTTTATACTTATCCTGACTCATGATCTTTTGCTTAGCTCCCTCTTCTATGCGAATGTTAGTGGAACACTTGAATCCTTTGTAGTTCCCTAAAGCGGATGTAAAGTACACTCACCAAGAGTTACCTCCCTTTCCCCGAGCAAACAGTCATGTGACCAGCCTTACTTGTCACTCTCTCCCTTTTCGCCCGAGCGGATGGTTGGGCGAGCACTGGAGTCCCGTATATGGCATATATCCTTTATATTTAGATCCTATTTATTGTAATTACCGGTACGCTGTGTATGGTATTTGGCTATAACTAACATGATTATATGTAAAAAAATTTTGAAGAAATTGTTTGTATTTTGTGACATATTGTCATCGTAATGTAACTTGTTTACATTTCATGAAATCTTGCAGTGTTTGCAGGTACCGGCTATCAGTGGCTGATCCTCACCCCCAATGCCCATCATGCATTAAGCCATGTTCTTCTACCTTGCGTTGTACATATTGCAGTGGTTTATCAAATTTACAATTTAATCAATATTTGTCTTACCATATCAACAAATCCGCTGTTGAGCTCTGGTTACCGGTAATCATGTTGTAAAGTAGCAAAATGCAGTGCAGTTTGGAATTAACAGTGTTTATCGTACATATCACATATTTTCAGATGCTAAAAACATTCAGGGCTTTCTTGAATAATCAGATGAACAGCAGAACGAAATACGATTTTATTTGGCGTTATTACCGTATTATGCAGGTGTCTAATAGCCGAGAGTCATCCATGGACCCCAAGACCCGCGTTATGGCGAGGGATGACTGTACTTTGTTTCACCTTATTTTATAGCTTAATGTAGTAAGATGAGCAAAAGTAGCTCTCTCCCAAATCACCAATAATACAAGGAACCTTAAAGGTTCCAACCACCAAAACATCTTCTTCCAAAATGAAACCAAGCACCATATTGATAGTGAGGAAATAGAGATCTTTACTTAGATGACAGACAGTGATTTCAACCATAACATCATTGACTGGCAAAGGAGAGGATCAACTTGCTCAATGCAAAAAGAGGATGGTATTTCTTCAGCAAACATACCTGACTTAGCAACAGGAAAGGACAATCTCCTTCTGCAATAAAGATTGAAATACACCTTAGTTTAGGACATTGTGTTTTATTCAACATTTCCCCACAGTGTTTCAATTACATTATGGCATGTCCGTTCAATCATACGAATGTGGTGGTAAAGGCACCATCATGCAGGTCTCACAAACACAAAATTTGTTTTCTTCCAACAAATCAAGAATCAATTGAATGAAAAGTGGGATTCAAACGAACAATCACAGGATCCGGCCATGGCTAAGGGATGTAACTCTGGACAGTGAATTGTTGCAACAAAGAGAATCTGTCCCCTAATTCAAACACCATTTAATCTAAAAAACCAGTTTGTTTGTTGTTTAATGCAGTACTCAATATCCCAGCTATATGGCAGCAATCTGTAAATCATCAAGTCTGGACCAGACAATCCAGTGATCAACAGCATGAGCATCGATCTGTGTAATTGGGATATGATGACATGTGTCAACTATGTCAATGAGCCTGGCCACCCGATCCTGTTGGTCGCCTCTTACGACAAGCATGGTATGCTGAAGACCAATTCTAACCCGGATCTCTGCACGTCTCAAGTGAGTGAGTGAGTAACACTGAGTATTGCTTTTAGCAATATTCCAGCAATATCACAGAAACCAGAGACACCAGAAACGAGCTTCACACATTGCAGCCACTGCTCCTCATCTCAAGTGACCAGTAATGCAAACATATCAGTTTCATGAAAAACTTGTACCAAGATTAAACAGATCGGGTCTGTATCGTTACCTGGAATATTAGCCACGCCCTCAGAGGAACTGACTGAGGCAGAATCTGGCATGTCAACTGGCTTGACCTTCTCCGGCTCGCTACTGATACTTTTAGCTGGACTGACTGGTGGGGTGGGGTGGGTTCGGCGAGCACCCCCAAAGGGTGGGGCAGTCTGACTGTTTGCTGAAGACGGGTAGAGGACAGGGGTGGATCTTCTGACACAACAGGCTTTATCTCTACTTTCTATAACATACAGCCATAAGAAATTCATTATCAGATTTCATCCAAATTCCATGAGATGTTAGGCACTTATGTTCTTAATAGTTTCTGTATATCAATAATGGTTGATTAATGTGATTTCCATGGAACATGAATAATCGGCGTGTCTACGTAAATGCTGTATTTCATCAAGTAAAGAATGGAGAGTTTGTCTTCATTTTAGGTACTCTAGAACCAAGTCCTGGTGGGATGAAAATGATTTATTCATAATGGCCTGAACAACCCCAAAACACTTTTAACTCTGTAAACAATTCAAGAGGTTAAAAGAAAAACATGCCGATGTACACTGGTCAGCTTTTGGTAAAACTAGAAGAAATAAATAAACACCATTCTGTATCTCACCTTTTCATTTTGCTTTTTGGCATCTAACCCAAGCAGTTCCTTCCTCTGCTTTTCATACTCTCCAGGATTCATTCTATTTCTAGGTGGCACCACAATATCAGGAGTTGTCATGGCAACAGGCCCTCCTGAAGTCTGAAACCCAGTCAGGGGGCTGACGATGGCACACTTTGTGCTACTCTTCTGAGGGATGGCTTCGGAGGCTGGGTGATGGGGTGGGTTACTTTGGAGACAACTTTAGCTGGCTTGGGGTCAACTTTCATGAGGGTTGGTTCTATTTTCCTCCGACCAATCAGAGGGGAGGTGAGGTGTAGAGGGAAGCGACGAGTCTTTTGTTGTTTCTCTTGAATTGTCGTGTCCCTGATTAAAAATCACAAAATATATTTCCAATAGATTTTAGTCTTTTCAAGATGAAACAGAAAATCATTATCTCTTACCTATTTATGGGGACCATGGATATAAATGACAATCACTCTCATGCATGTATACACACATATAATTTGTATTGTGTTCAACACAAACATGATGAAGCCATTGAAGTCAAATGGTTCTTTCAGTAAGTCCTTGGAAGATTTGGTTGGTCAGTGTTTTTTATATTCCTTTATGTCCCTATATATCAAAAATGTATCATGGCCATGTCAAGTTGGTAGCTCAAACTCAGAACGAGGCTAAATCCAAGATGGCCACCAAAAAACCCCAACATTTTCAAAAAAATGTCAATTCCAAGCTTTATGAGAAACGTTCAGCAAATAGGTTGGAAATGTAAAACAGAATTGTGGTGCTAATGTGATTAAAAGTATTTAATTAATATCAAGTTTTATTTAACTGATACCTTTAAATCATATTTTTCCTGATTTTTAAGTGTCGAAGTTGTAAGCTCAAAAAACATTTTCAAAAACTCATCATTTCATTTATTCTGAAGACAGCTCTTTAACTTTAAAAGTGAGAGCACCTTCAAGTTCCTTAAAGTGGTTTGTGATAGTCACTGTTCAGCATCATAAACGTCAGCATTGACGCTTCGGCATGTCATGTTCCTCGCATACCGTGTTGTCACAAGTCTGGTTCCGACATGTCACAGTGCATTTCAGTGCATTGGTAAGGCATTGACGCTGATGATGAAGTGGACGTTTATGATGCGGAACAGTGACTAGGAAAAAATATGATTCAAAAGGTAGCAAAGAACACAACTTGATATTAATTAAATCATTTTAATCATGTTAGCATTATTTGTACCTCCCTATTTTCATTTCCAACCTATTTGCTAAACTTTATTTACAATTAAAGTTTGGAATTGACGTTTTTCGAAATGTTGGGATTTTTTACGGCCATCTTGGATTTAGCCTCGTTCTGAGTTTGAGCTACCAAACCGACATGGCCATCATACCTTTTTGATATGTAGAGACCATAACAACTTAAAGAAACATAAAAGTGTTTGGTCCCTCAGTGGTACCGAAAAATTGTCTGGCTCATGGCCTAAGGGGCAACTTCAGGGAAGTAAGTATGGTAACGGTCATGGGCTACAAGACTTGTATTGAAACATGTCTGAACTGACTCTGAAAGTCCAGAGAAGTCGTAGATGAGGTCTGATGCTGAAGTTTTGACCTCTGTCGGCATGTCCTGTTCCTTCTGTAGCTGCTCTGCCTCGGCCTGCTGACTCAGTAACATCACCTGTAGGGAGGAACATCCTCAGTAATGAAGGGAGGCTCTCCTCAGGGGAGTTCAAACACTGACTATACACTCTGTTAAGATGTGTTAATTTTGTTCTTAAAATACCCTTGGTCCATTAACTGCCCTAGCTTCTCAGACAGATTTCAATACACCACCAACATAATAGACATTACAATGTGATCAGTTAAATACCTGCAAGATACATAAGTAAGTGAAAATTGACATTTATAGCGATGATCGCTACCGCTGTCAAGATTTCAGTTAACTGCATGATTTGCATGTGTATCGTTAACCGGCAGCAACCAATATTTTCTGAACCTTTTCATGTTTGTTATGAAGGTGCTCAATTGTGTTGACTAGGCTCCGCCATTATATATGAAGCAAATGCAAGTGATATGTAAAGTGGAATCTGATTGGTCTGCTGGAGGAGCAAAGAAAGGCCTCATAACTCATTGTCACACACAGAGTTGTAAAACATGGTTATCACACAGATGTCACACTGTTAACATAGGTATCATACAAATTTCTCACACACTCAGCACACAGATATAGCACCGATATCACACACAACTATTCACCTTGTGTTTCAACATGCTGTTCTCCTCCTGAAGCATCTTCATCCTCCGAAACCGTGTTCAAAACTCAGCAGTGTTGGCACAGGTGAGAGAGTCAAGGACTGGGACAATTAGTTTCTTACACTCACAACTTATTATTACTATATATAAAATATTTTCTTATTTCGTATTAGAGTGCCCAAGTTTGCACCATCATAACCAACAAACTTAAACTCATAATCAGGGCATCTCTGGGCCCAAACACACAATCATAGGATTCTTGCACACCCAAGGGCAGTAACTCTAGTGTGCCACCACGCCTCTTTCCACATTTTTTATCACTAACTAATAGCAAAATCGTCACTATATAGAACAAACTTATGGAGAACAACTTCTTTTTATTTGTGAGTGCGACGTCCGATACAGATTCTTGTACCGTTGTCAAGCAGCAATGGAACATGAAGAAGGGGGATGTATATATATACTGAATGTAACAATGTAACAAAGAAAACAACATAATTAACATAATTGGCTAGGCAGTAAGCTGATGAAGCCAGAGAGTAGACAAAGGACAGGCGGGGAAGCTAATGTTGTACAAATAATAATGAGATGTTTATACAGCAGAGTTTATAAATAATACAGTAGATTGGGCTTGGTGGATGAATACATCATAAGCAGATGGAATGAAGTATCCTTGGTCTCGGTTGATGGTTGGCAAAAGTTTGTTCTATATTGTACTTCCCAACTTCTAAAATGCCACTCAAAATAAGAAAAAATCGTCAATCTTAAGCAACTGTTAAGTAACATGATCCTGTTTTCATGTCATGGGTGGGGAGATTTCTCTACAAATGACACATGACCATCAAACATGGCGCTGAGACTTATACCGGTAAATGTTACGGTACTTTCAAGAGTTCTCATAATAAATATGAGGGTCCTACAAATTCAAGAAATGGTGCTGATAATCACCAAATTATTTTCTAAATAAACATTTTAATTACAGAAAATTTATGTATGTTTAGTATATTGAAAATTATTGTGCATCCTTCACAACACAATAGATATTTTTTTCTCCATCCATTTTGTACATCTGTGTGTATTTGGCACACATTCATCACAAAACCCCTCCACATAATTATCACATTTGTTGACTGAACAAACATTACTGTAAACCAATCAAGACAATGACGGTACTCATGGACAAAAGGATATGCATGGCCTGAAGGATGACGCTGAGGAAGTTGTGGAGAGACAGGATGAGGGTGTCCTGCCACTGTTTGGTGAAATACATGGAGAAAAGCGGGTTCTCCTGGGGGTTCTGCAGAAAGGGAAAGGCTGAAATCAAATCATATTTTGGGTTATTAATACATTGACAGCTGATATTAATTATTATATTTAAGACCAATGACAATTTTATTCAGTTAAACCATATACAAAATGTAGTTATTTTAGTTTAAACCTGAAATTAAATTAGCACTCACCGTTTACCGAGTTCAACAAATAGTGTTATAGTATACTTTTCTGGCCTCAAAACTGACAAAACATGAAAGATAAATAATCCTGTCATCAACATGATCAGTTGACAGAATAATAATAAGATTATCACAGATTCATTTTCAAACTAGTCAAGAACATTTACAAGAACATAACAGTAGAATTAGCATTTCTCCACAAATAACCACTCTCTGCTATCACATGTAATCTGTATTTGAGTTTGAATTTGACAAAACACATGTTATACATGGAAATTAACAAATGATGATCTCTGTTAGAATTGATTGTCATCAACCCATGCTTATCCTAAGAGGCAACTAATGAGTCGGTTTTCAGGCACGCTGACTTGCTTGACATATGTCATCATATCCAAATATCCCCTCCTGTAAAACTGTACAACAAATTTGGCTATGGTAAAAATGGAAGATCCTTGTCAACATACCAAACCACTCTCGAAACTCTGGTTGGTTCTGTAGTTCTGGTGTCATCTTCTCGAAAAACTCAACAACCTTGTCCGGCTTGTTGGTCTGAGCTGCATTGATGACGTACATCTTGAGAAGCCCCACCTCCAGCTTGCGGACGCTTGTCATGTAGCGTTGCTCTAGACGGGCGAACAGCCGGCGGTTCATGTACACCCAGTAATCTTTCAGGCTTAACATGTCGTAATTGGTTATACATGCTTGAAGCTGATCGATGATTTTGTCTGCCTGCAAAGACGGACCAAAACAATAAAAATGTGTAACATATGTTATATTTGGGATAACACTTTCTTAGTAAAGTACAGATTCTAGTACAGTTTGGGTTGAGTCCCATACGGGATTCGAACCCACACCCTCAGAGTCAGACGCCTAGACCGCTCAGCCACCGCGGCTTCCACAAAAATGGAAGTCGGATAACTGGTAGTCTAGACTGCGGACTTTGTGTACCCCTCTGATAAGTGTTAACTGGCACAGCTCCCACGACCGAAAGCTATGAAATACACAATGCCATTTTAGAAAGTGATCAAATGTAACATATATTATATTTGGGATTACACTTTCTTAGTAAAGTACAGATTCTAGTACAGTTTGGGTTGAGTTTCATCCGGGATTCGAACCCACACCCTCAGAGTCAGGCACGTAATCACCAGCACACAAAGTCAGACCCCTAGACCACTCAGTCACCACGGCTTCCACAAATATGGAAGTCGGACAACTGGTACTACAGTGGTAGTCTAGACTGCGGACCTTGTGTACCCCTCTGATAAGTGTTAACTGACACCCCCGATTGACTCCCAGAGTGTTCTAATCCTAAGAAAGAATCCCAACTCAATCCCAAAAATGTACTTCAGAATCTGTACTTTTACTAAGAAAGTGTAATCCCAACTATAACATATGTTACAGTTGATCACTTTCCTGGACTCTGAGCATTTCAATCCTGGATGGGACTCAATAAAGATGTGATTTAAATTAATCCCACTAGATCAATCACTTCAATGGGAGGTTGCACATGTTGTTAGAAATCATTCACTGGTCTGTCCAGTCAAGATTTGAATGTTTACAGGCCCTCTTCCTTTAGCTGATTCTATGCTTTGTTGTTAGTGTGTCATCATACATCAATACCAGTCATTAGTTTGTTGGGTAATTTTGAAACATATTTACATTGAAAATAAGCCCCTTCTCCAATTTACTTGAGGACTCTGATTGGGAAGTGCTCATTTATAGTGAAAACATGACATACCTTGAAGTTTAATCAGAATGGTCAGTTTATAACCATAACATATCTGCGAGTTGTTGATAATGATGACACAAAGTGGAGATGATGTCAGCGAATAACAACCAACAGCAACATAGAGATTGTAATGTAATACATGTCTGTTGTGTGATAGAAGGACATATTTTGACATATTGACATAATGTGATATATCATCAGTCTACAACGAATTTGCATGCTTAGTTAAGAGTGATACAGACTTTGGGGAATAATCCCTCAATGAAAATTTTCAAGTATGAGTTGTCTATGACATTCAAGTTGAGGGTCTGTGACATAAGGGCCTTCATAATTTATGTGTGTGGGGGTGGGGGTGGGGTTAAGAATTGATGATTTTAAGGGGGTCACCCATTTTGTTCTGAGGAGGTAGGGGGTCATCAATTTTGTACACGTTTCTAAGGGGGTCAGCAAGTTTGTACATAAAAATATTTTAAAATTATGCTTAACAAATATTGGAAGGGAGGGTCATTGATTTTGTACATGACATGCAGTGTGTGTGTGGGGGGGTGTCACTTACTTTGTCATATAAATTTTAGCGGGGACATTCACATTGTACATGCTTCTCCATATAAATCATCATCAAAACCCCATCCCCGGCCATAAATTATTAACGTTCCCTAAGATGTTCACGATGTTCAACGAGAAATTATGGGAATATCACAAATTATGATGTCGTTCTGATGATTCATATCATCTTATCTAGCCTGGTAATGTTATCATAATAAAGTTTATCATCAGTTAAATCGAAATCAACATGATCACTCTAAACATCCGAAGATCCTCCATTCAAAGACTGTCACAGGTTTACCTTACACATTTTCTCTCGGTATAATTTCAGATACCAGAAGGTGACACAAACCAGCAAACGACGAGACACACCCAAAGGTACAAGACAAAGAATCTGTGACGACCACCATGAAATCACAATTTCAATTGACAATTTTCAATTTCAATTCATTCCATTTCCAGCAGATACAAACGTTTGTATGATATAGTTTACTGAGACAGCATGCTTGCAATTACAAAATGGATGTTACCCGTAATCCCTTTTCCTTATCATTCTTGAGCTCACTGTCGAAAGCCTTCTGTGTTTGTGTAAGGCCACGAAACAGCAAATAATCTTTGACAAGTTCGTCTATTCTTCCAGCAGCTGCGGCCATGTTTATGATCATGTGCCCGTGTCAGCGCCCTCTCTAAACATTAGATATTAGAGTCAAGGGATATAACTCGTGACTCGCGTACTGATAAAAAAAGTTAAACTTGGACATGATTTTGCCCTCAACTCATTTATTTCTCACATAAACCAGTCACGTTGGTAATAAGATTCAATTGTAAAATGTAAAGAATGGCAGCGTTTAACACACACGATGATTGAGTTTTTAGATTGAGTAGAAATAAAGTTATATCCGCGGTAAGAAATGCAAAGAAGATGTACATGAATAAAATTGATGAACAAATAAATAATGAACATGGTACAAAACATGGTGGCGTTTAGTTAAGAATTATATAAAAGCAAAACACACCACTAATATTAATACTTTTCCTTCGATAATCCAAAACGATAAACTATATGATGATAGTGCTGATATAGCAAACATTATGAATGATTTCTTTGCAGATCAGGCAAGAGTAGCTGCTCCTAACAGGGATATTCCTGAAATTCGTTTAGAGGTAGATAACCCATTATGTGACTTAACACTCAGTCCGCAAGAAATCCATGATATTCTCTCCTCTGTTGATATCATTAAAGCAACAGGCCCAGATGGTATAGGCAATAAATTTCTGAAAATGAATGCTAGACAATTAGCAGTTCCCTTATCTGAAGTTTTAATCTATCATTAAAGAATACAGTGTTTCCTGATATCTGGAAGGAGGCATCAGTTGTTCCTATACATAAAAAAGGCAGTACAAATGAATGCTCTAACTATCGACCTGTCGCACTAACAAGTTGTGTAGCAAAGATTTTCGAAAATGCATTTTTAAACATGTATTTAATTATTTTAGGGATAATGAAATGCTTACAAACTTACAATCCGGTTTCATGCCAGGCGATTCAACGGTTAATCAACTAACGTACCCGTATGACTTTATAGCGGGTGCATTAGATAGCGGTAAGGAAATTAGGGCTGTATTTTGTGACGTAAGTAAGGCTTTTGACAAGGTCTGGCATAAAGGTATTATACATAAGCTAAGACGTTATGGTATCGGGGGTAACTTGTTGAAATGGTTTGAGAGTTATCTAGACAATAGAGTTCAGCGAGTTGTTATTAATGGTTACGCGTCTGATCAAAGATCAATCCTAGCCGGGGTTCCCCAAGGCTCTGTCTTAGGACCATTATTGTTTATAGTTTATATCAACGACATCGTTGAAGGAATAAACAGCAATATCCGTCTCTTTCTGATTGGGCTGACAAATGGCAAGTTACATTTAATCCTAATAAAACAGATTCTATACAATTCTCTCGTAAAGTTCAGCCCAGCCCAAAACGAAACTTAACAATGAAGGATGGTAATATTAATGACGTTAATAGCCATAAACATTTGGGACTTACTTTACAGCACGATTGTTCCTGGACTGATCATGTTAACTGTATCGCTAAAAAGGTTGCACCCATGGTAAACTGTCTTAGAGGTTTTAAATATCGTCTCTCACGTAGAACTTTACAAACAATGTACAAACAATATATCTTACCTATTTTCGACTATTGTTGTCACATCTGGGACAATTGTACCAAACAGCAAGCACTAACACTGGAAAAACTTAATCTTGATGCACTTAGAACGATTTGCGGTGCTGTTCGCGGCACGAGTCACAACAAAAATTTATGATGAGACAAACTTCCAACCACTATGTACTCGAAGATACATCCAAAAACTAACGTTTTTCTATAAGATGGTTAATAATTTTACTCCAAAATATCTGAGTGATCTCGTCCCTCCTAAGGTATCTGACACAACAAGCTACATTTTCCGAGACCGCTTGAAGCTCCAAACTATCGATAGTAAAAGTGCAAATTATGCTAAGTCATTTCCCCAGATACAGTAAGATTGTGGAATTGTTTGTCTACCGATTATAGAGAAACGGCTACTTTGGGTAGTTTTAAGAAACAGATTAATGGGTCAAATAAGAATAATAGTCAAAATTACTTCAATTTAAGCTTTGGAACAAGATTCTGTCAGATTATCCATTCACGCCTCAGGCTCGGTTGCAGCGATTTAAACGCACATAAATATCAACGATTTATATCCTCAAATCCCTCTTGTTCTTGTGGCTACTGTTATGAAGATCCAATTCACTATTTCTTTTCGTGCGTTAATTACACTGACATAAGACATAAAATGCACTTCTATACTAAAGGATATGACATCAAATCAATACTATACGGCCACTCTCATGGATCTACTAAAGGTAATCTTGAATTATTAGAATCTATCCATTCTTTCATTGTACTGTCAGGCAGATTTGAGTTGTAATATATAAACGAAATTGCACTTACTATTAAGCATTTTCCGACACTAATGGTTCTAACGTTAAAAGTGGCATGTTACAGTTTATGATTGTTACATTTCCAGAAAGCTATTGTTTATTGTTTGTTGATATCATGTTTTTCTCCGTACGATTATTATATCTATAATATATCTGTATTCCGGAGCGGTATTCATATAAGCACCATACTGCTTGTTTACCAATCCGGTTCCTCTTTTGGAAATAAATATGGCAGCGTTTAAACCACACACGATGATAACATACTACTAATTATACATTTACTAACTATACACGTCATTAAAATGGGTCTAGGACAATCCCAGGTAGATTGCCACCTGAACAATTGCCACCCGGACAATTGCCAACGGATAATGGCCACCCAGGACAATTGCCACTTAGGACAATCGCCACCCAAAACATAAAAAAATAATTCAGTTTTGTTACCAACGTTTATTAAGTTTGACATGGTAATTAATAACAAAAGATAACCCTTTCTTCCATATGACCAACTTTCAGCATCACAAGACAAATCTTGTACTTCAACTTCAATCTAGACTTTAAGACCAAACACTATTAAAATAGTATTGTATTAAATAGAGTTGCATATGATGCATGTACTATTACATGCATAATACTTTAACATTGCACTAATCATCTTTGCACTCACAAATAAATACCCTATTACATAGTCATGCACAGTCAGCACACATAACACATTTCTTAAAGTTCATCTAGAGGATCTCAATTCATCCTTCTGTTGTGGGCCACAGTGACAGAAACATGCCTTGATCTCATCATCCGAGATTTGTACTGCTTTTCTAGCAAAGTCTGTCTGCTCACCTTATCAAAACATTCATCTCAACGTATGTATATAGAAGACAGTAGGACCAAAGCTTTAATAAATTGGTTATCTAAACACTTGATGTTCTTAGCACTTTGATCTTATTGTTTTAGTGCTTTGAATGCATTCTCTCGATTATGTTAGTAAAAATGTCTTAAGTTTTCCAGTTTGATCTTTTTTTCTAATCAATGTACATTTTTCCATTGTCTCAATTATTTTAGTAACTATGCCTTAAGTTAACAGGCTTTCATCAAAATCAAAATTTCATCAAAGTCAAATTACTTCAAGTTTAAAAATTGATCAAAATTTGAGAATACCAAAAAACATTGACTTTTCATCATTTAAAGTTGTGATTATAGACAACCTGCATTCATTTTTTCTAATAAAATTGCATAAACATTCTGGGTGGCAATTGCCCTCGGTATTATAGTAAAAATAACTGGGTGGCAATTTTCCTTGGTGGCAATTGTCCTGGGTGGCAATTGCTCAAGGTGTCAATTGTCCTGCTCCCGATTATTATTTAGAGAGGCATTTCAGATCTCTTACAATGTGAGTTGCAAACGTCTCTTGAAGCTAGACCAATTGGGAGACGTGAGATACTGTTATTTAAGGGTTCATAACGCTGTTGGAGAAAAGCCCCACATCTAAATAAATAATGAAATTAATCGCTCACAGCAATTGAATCACAGAGATGGCACTGGCGGTCGTCCGCCTCATCGATGTGGTTAGATCTGGTTATGTAATTATCGGGGAACGAACCGAGGGTAGGGTACCTGCTTCGCGAAAGAAAAATGGCTTATACCAAAACCATCTTGATGCTAAGATGTCTTCATACAGTCTACTGCCATGTTCCGTTTGTCTCCTATCTATTGTTTCGACATCTGAAGGGGCGGTGGGGTAGCCTAATGGTTAAAGCGTTCGCTCGTCACGCCGAAATGTCGTCGACATCTGAATTCTGTATTGTTCAAGACTACCAGCTCACGAGAGAAAAGCGATCCATTTTCATACATGCGAAATTGAATTTCCTATATCAGAAATGTTTGAAATGCCCAATACTGTTTTGTAGATATCCTTTGCTGTACTCAATCAAAAACAAATGTGAATATATTCGCGAATTTGTTTTGGATTTTTTTGCGAAATGACAAGAACTCGTTATTCGGCTGGTCCCGGATTAACACGAGTTGGAAACGAATGCATTATGTTTTTTGGTTCCTCGGGATAGTCAAGTGATTTAAAAAGTGATGGCTCGTCACTCCATCACCCACATGGGTACAATCTGCGAAGCCCATTTCTGGTGTCGCCCGCCATGATATAGCCGGAATATTTCTAAAAGCGGCGTAAAACCATATTCACTCACTCACTTGTTTTGTCAGTACTTTGTTCACGGATTGCACAGAAGCTATTTTCATCAGCATCTCACTTCAGGATTTCGCCTTTTCACGCGTGCTATATGGCGAAACCAACAAATCCTGACACAAGTAAGGGGCACAACTCTGAACATGAAACAAGTACGCCTCATACTGCTGCCCCATACCTTTCTCCAAGCGAGAGTTCCTACATGTATCTGACACTGCAATGTACATACACAAGATCCTGGCTCGATTTCTCACATGTTCTCGTTTAATGAATTCAGAAGCTAATTCTAATGGTGTCCTCCCATAAGAACGTCCACCCATGAGAACTACATCCCATGAGAACTACATCCAATAAGAACTATATACATCCATGAGAACTACATCCCATGAGAACTACATCCAATAAGAACTATATACATCCCATGAGAACTACATCCCATGAGAACTACATCCCATGAGAACTACATCCAATAAGAACTATA